CTACTGACTATCCGCTGTTTAGGTAGATGTTCTATCAAATACACCACGGAGGTGGTTTAAAGTGTATAGCAAGTGACATGAGTAAGAAACTGTAGAATACCAGTCCATGTGACTTCCCACTTCAAATAGCCGAAAGTGGCTCAAGTGTTCGACCGTGGTAAACGGCACCTAACGTTTTACAAGTCTCCGGCAGGGCGTGACGGACACGAAAGATTAGACTAAAACTCTGTCCTATTCCTTTCAGACAAGCCTTTTCCAGTGAGACTCACTGATGCACGAGATACTAGCACCGGTATTTTCGACTGCCTTTTCAGAACCCCCAAAATATCTTTCTCTAAAAACTGTCCAATCTAGAAACAGCAAATGGAAATAAATACTCTCAGATAGCAGGTTGCTATTCAACCCTGATGGAACACTGAAAAATATGAAAGATACTTCTAGACGACGCGTGTGTTTATTTTTTTGGGTACAGATTTCAACTATTGACATGGCCACTTACAAATACACCCTTTATAGGTTTCAATGTAATGTACTACGAACAGAAACCATTCAGGCATAGGAAATTCATTTTGAGGAAACATTTTGGAAGTTATTCTCATGATGAGTGGTTCAAAGATAGGTATGTTGTCAAATGAGAAACATGAGACTAAACTTGTATCACTCATTTTTAAACTGCAATCATTTCCTGAAAGACCCTTTTTCATGCCATGCCAAGCATTTATCCAGCCTTGTTGACATCAAGTGTCTAATCGCTACTAGCCCACATCGACAATACAATTTGCACCGATTCTCATGAACTCATGATACATACTGTCCCTCTGTGGATTACACAGACTGAAAATACTGGTCAGATTCTGTGATTTAATTTAAAGCGTGTCATCGTACATGGTACCCTTCTTGAACAAATCAAACATCTAATTGCTAAATCCCTTTGTCCATCCAAATAATACAGTGGCTTCCATCATCTCCATCAGTCTGCTTGTTTACTATGCTAGTATACTCTGTGTTCATTAGTCATCCACTGGCTTCCAATTAGCTTAATCACCTCTCTGTGTCCATCAACTAGTCACTGTAACATCTTAGATGTCAATAAGTGTATATATACCTATGTTGTTTAGCCCTATCCATCACTTGCTTGATAAAGGTGTTAGGATCTACACCGAAACGTCGCACTAATTGTAATAAAGAAGTTGTTAATCCATAGAACTCGTCTTACTTCATCACTCCAACTTGCAAATGCCACTCAAAGAAATCAAACATCCTTTTAAAAAAACAAATTCAAATTTAAATATTCAATGATTTATTGGTATTATGTGACTATGAGTATGACATATTGTTAAAAGACATGAACATATATTATGCATACAATTTCAGTTAATGTGTTATTTTGGACACTGAACGTCCCTCAATAGAAATGCCGCTTTAACGTCGTCTATTCCTTGAAAAGAAATTTCTGATTGATCGCAACTTTTTAGAAAGACGTGAGTGGGTCTTTTTTTCATCAGTCACAGAAACATGTTTATGATGTCGATTCATAATCTGTTCCAGTACCTGTAAGACACTAAGGTCCTTCTCAGCCGAGATCTCCACGTGTCCATGTTCCCATTCACAGCTAATGTTCAGATCTCGGGACATTCTCTCGGTCTTATCTACAGAGCCAGCGATGTCTGTCTTGTTGGCCACGAACACTATAGGGACTGAAGGTCCCTCTTGCTGGAGGATCTGGTCCCTGGCTGCTACCACAGACTCAAAGGAGTCATCACACACCAGCGAGTACACCAACACGTATACATCAATGGAGGGGAGTCCCTGTGGGAAGGTGCAGGTCTTCGTTGTGGATGTGTCCACAATATCGACTGTCAGATTTCGCCCTTTGATTCCAAGATCAACTCGAGCGTTACGTCGTTTCTTACTTTTCTTGTGGGATTTGCTGCTCTGTTCTGTCCAGTGTTTGATGAGTCTGCAGATTAAGGTTGACTTTCCTACACTGCTATCTCCAATAACAGCAAGGTTGAAGCTATCTTCCTCTACTAAAATACTGCTGACCTCTGAGTGGAGAGTAAATCTGCGACTCATGTTTGATACAATGTTCTTGATACTCAATAGTGATGTGGTTTACAACTACACTATGATGTGGTAACGCAGTATACCTTTCTTTTATAGAGGTAATGTGTGTAAATTGAAATAGTAGACATGTTCCATAACTGTATCAGAAAACTCTCAGCCCTTACCATGTATCTGTATTGACTTGTACTGCACTGCACTCATTGGCCAAGAAATGTGCGAAAATCTGTTCCACGTTGCCACCCAGTGACACACGCTTCATCAGAGAACGTGTTTAAACACCTTTTTTTAATATTTAACTATTTCGCGCCTTGCGTCTTGAAGCAGTCAGTGAGTTGGGTTTAATGCCACTTTTAACAGTATTCCAGTTATATCAGGGCGTATCAGCTTAGTGTGGGAGGAAAGCCCAAAGTGATGCAGGTCTCAGACGTATACCACTTCGGTGAAACCCACGAGCATGGGTATGGTGCTGACAAATCTAATAACATGATCGGGGCGAATCTGGCTTCGAACCAACAATCATAGGTTCCTGACGTACCCAAGGGTCGCAATTCTGCACAGCTAATCGCGGCGCCTTAGACGACTTGGCCACCTGTGTCCCCCTTGAAGCAGTGACAAAATAAGTATTCATATATTTTACCACACCATAACTGAATATCTAATAAAGGTCGATCCCTTAACGTGACTTTATTTACCCATAATTGTTTGAATTCAAAATATCTGAGGAAATATGACAATTATTACTCTTTTGGATACGCGAGGAAATATGACCTTATTAGACTTTGGGATACCTGAGGAAATTTGATCTATATAGTAAGACTTTGGGATACCTTATAAAATGATATGGCCTGATGGTCTCCTCTCGTGTAGAGCATTACTAATCAACGAAATTAAAGTCACTCATCTTGCATTGTGAAGTTTAGCCATGAGAAGACTTACTTTATTTTCCATTCAATCCCAACAATTGTTTCATCCAATTTCTGGTGTTTCTTTCAGATGTTTATTTCTCACTATTGTTAAAAGTTGTGACTTTATGGAACTGATAGAAAACACTTTCATTAGTACCATTCACACATGCTAACTGTTTCTATAAGACGCCAGTCTGTCTGTTCGTCCGTCCGTCTATCCGTCTGTCTGTCCGTAATCATTTCCTTTACTGGGGCAGAAATCGAAAACTATTAAGTGTATCTGATAGAAACTTGGAAAATCTATCATGGGATTTTTCGAAAAAATTTTTTTTTTAATTTTAGGGACAGAAGTTGGACTTAGACTCCATTTGGGATGGGGTTCGTTTTCGGGGCAGAATTCGTAAGCCATTCAGCATATTTGATCGAAACTTGAAAGATGTATCAGTCATATGCTGAAGTGGTGCCTTTTGCTATTTTGTAATATTTAAAATATATATTTTTACAAATCTTTATGGAAAGAAGTTGGACAAGGACACGATTGCTAGTTTCACGGAAGCAGCCATGGTGCATCTTTTGTGGGAAAAACATGTATGCTTCTTGAAGAACATTCAACTCTTGACCCATATTTGCACATTTATTTCTGGTTACTTTACCGACAGCTGCCGGAAATATCATCTTTCTGATGAATCTTCGTCACGCGTTAAAATGTGTGAATCAAAGTTGTGACACCTTAGAAAGCTCGCTGAATCAAGTGACACACCTGAGACAGTTTGGAATAAAGCTGCAATCGAAACACCTAAGAGAGTGTTTGAAGCACGTATCATTACTGTGTGTGTTAAACAGGGGAATGTGTGTTAAATGTAATGTGTAACTACCGGCTCATGCCTGTACCTCAGGAGTCAAAGCGAGTCTGTTTAGTCAGGGAATTGAACTACTGACTATCCGCTGTCTTGGTAGATGTTCTATCAAATACACCACGGAGGCGGTTTAAAGTGTATAGCAAGTGACATGTGAAAGAAACTGTAGAATACCAGTCCATGTGACTTCCCACTTCAAAAAGCCGAAAGTGGCTCAAGGGTTCGACCGTGGTAAACGGCACCTAACGTTTTACAAGTCTCCGGCAGGGCGTGACGGACATGAAAGATTAGACGAAAAACTCTGTCCTATTCCTTTCAGACAAGCCTTTTCCAGTGAGACTTACTGATGCACGAGATACTAGCACCGGTATTTTCGACTGCCTTTTCAGAACCCCCAAAATATCTTTCTCTAAAAACTGTCCAATCTAGAAGCAGCAAATGGAAATAAACAAAATACAATTCAAAAACTTAGTTTTGTCGATGCCAACCTCAGAACCTAAAGAAACCTATGCTTCATTCACCAGAACGCCTTCTGAAACAACCACTAAAATTACAAATTTGCCAGTTGCCACAGCATCAGTAAACTGTCACACGGACTTATATAACATGATCCTTATATAACAGTTCTTTATATGCACATACTGGTTCTCGAGGCGACTAACTGTAATATTGCTGATGCGGCGTAAAGCAATATTTATTCTTTCACACATCCTGAAAACTAATGATGGAGTAGTGAGTCACTTCTCTGAGTCAAGTGACACACCTGAGACAGTTTGGAATAAAGCTGCAATGGAAACACCTAAGAGAGTGTGAAGCACGTATCATTACTGGGTGTGTTAAACAGGGGAATGTGTGATCAATGTAATGTGTAAGTACAGGCTTCTTCTTGTACGTCAGGAGGCAACGCGAGTCTGTTAAGTTGATTAGTATTATAGTGAGTGAGTGAATGAGTATGGTTTGACGCCGCTTTTTGCAATATTCCAGCAATATCACAGCAGGGGACACCAGAAATGGGCTTCACACATTGTACCCATGTCGGGAATCGAACCCGGGTCTTTGGCGTGACGAGCGAACGCTTTTACCACTAGGCTAACCGACTGCCCCAATTAGTATTATAAGGGTAACGCTATTTTTCAGGGCATCATCATTTGCAGAAGCCCGAGGTCTTCCATTAACTGCCTGACGAAGACTGGCTTCTTCTGCAAATGATAATGCCCTGAAAAATGGAATTTTATATCAAATAAAAAGAAACAACAATATCGGTTTTAAAACATTTACTGCAATCAACACAAATGTCACTGACCCAATTTTACAAATATGGAAACGTCAGAGAAGAAACCAGATGACGGCACTATTGAACGTGACGTCACCTAAATGCTATTGCGTACGTGCGTGCGTTCGTGCGTACGTGCGTCAGATTAATATTGATACCCCATCCGGGTACGTTACACTCCAGGCCGACAAGTTCTTGACTAATCCCCCTAAACCCGGAAGGGTAACAAGTAATTATAACATATTAACATATATTTTGGTATACAGCTGTCAGGGAATTGAACTACTGACTATCCGCTGTCTAGGTAGATGTTCTATCAAATACTACACGCAGGCGGTTTAAGGTGTATAACAATGACATGTGTAAGAAACTGTAGAATACCAGTCCATGTGACTTCCCACTTCAAATAGCCGAAGATGGCTCAAGAGTTCGACCGTGGTAAACGGCACCTAACGTTTTACAAGTCTCCGGCAGGGCGTGACGGACACGAAAGATTAGACTAAAACTCTGTCCTATTCCTTTCAGACAAGCCTTTTCCAGTGAGACTTACTGATACACGAGATACTAGCACCGGTATTTTCGACTGCCTTTTCAGAACCCCCAAAATATCTTTCTCTAAAAACTGTCCAATCTAGAAACAGCAAATGGAAATAAATACTCTCAGATAGCAGGTTGCTATTCAACCCTGATGGAACACTGAAAAATATGAAAGATACTACTAGACGACGTGTGTGTTTATTTTTGGGGGTACTGATTTCAACTATTGACCTTCAGGCATAGTAAATACATTTTGAGGAAACATTTTGGAAGTTATTCTCATGATGAGTGGTTCAAAGGTAGGTATGTTGTCAAATAAGAAACATGAGATTAAACTAGTATCACTCATTTTTAAACTGCAATCATTTCCTGAAAGACCCTTTTTCATGCCATTCCAAGCAGTTATCTAGCCTTGTTGACTTCAAGTGTCTAAGTGCTACTAGCCCACATCGACCATACAATTTGCACCGATTCTCATGAACTCATGACACATACTGTCCCTCTGTGGATTACACAGACTGAAAATACTGGTCAGATTCTGTGATTTGACTTATAGCGTGTCATCGTACATGGTACCCTACTTGAACAAATCAAACATCCTTTTAAAAAAACAAATTCAGATTTAAATATTCAATGATTTATTGGTATTATGTAACTATGAGTATGACATATTGTTAAAAGACATGAACATATATTATGCATACAATTTCAGTTAATGTGTTATTTTGGACACTGAACGTCCCTCAATAGAAATGCGACTTTAACGTCGTCTATTCCTTGAAAAGAAATTTCTGATTGATCGCAACTTTTTAGAAAGACGTGAGTGCGTCTTTTTTTCATCAGTCACAGAAACATGTTTATGATGTCGGTTCATAATCTGTTCCAGTACCTGCAAGACACTAAGGTCCTTCTCAGCCGAGATCTCCACGTGTCCATGTTCCCATTCGCATTTAATGTTCAGATCTCGGGACATTCTCTCGGTCTTATCTACAGAGCCAGCGATGTCTGTCTTGTTGGCCACGAACACTATAGGGACTGAAGGTCCCTCTTGCTGGAGGATCTGGTCCCTGGCTGCTACCAAAGACTCAAAGGAGTCATCACACACCAGCGAGTACACCAACACGTATACATCAATGGAGGGGAGTCCCTGCGGGAAGGTGCAGGTTTTCGTTGTGGATGTGTCCACAATATCGACTGTCAGACTTCGCCCTTTGATTCCAAGATCAGCTCGAGCGTTACCACGTTTCTTACTTTTCTTGTGGGATTTGCTGCTCTGTTCTGTCCAGTGTTTGATGAGTCTGCAGATCAAGGTTGACTTTCCTACACTGCTATCTCCAATAACAGCAAGGTTGAAGCTATCTTCCTCTTCTGAAATACTGCTGACCTCTGAGTGGAGAGTAAATCTGCGACTCATGTTTGATACAATGTTCTTGATACTCAATAGTGATGTGGTTTACAACTACACTATGATGTGGTAACGCAGTATACCTTTCTTTTATAGAGGTAATGTGTGTAAATTGAAATAGTAGACATGTTCCATAACTGTATCAGAAAACTCTCAGCCCTTACCATGTATCTGTATTGACTTGTACTGCACTGCACTCATTGGCCAAGAAATGTGCTAACATCTGTTCCACGTTGCCACCCAGTGACACACGCTTCATCAGAGAACGTGTTTAAACACCTTTTTTTAATGTGTGATAAATGTAATGTGTAACTACCGGCTCCTTCTTGTACGTCAGGAGGCAACGCGAGTCTGTTTAGTCAGGGAATTGAACTAAAGACTATCTGCTGTCTGGGTAGATGTTCTATCAAATATACCACAACGGTGGTTTAAAGTGTATATCAAGTGACATGTGTAAGAAACTGTAGAATACCAGTCCATGTGACTTCCCACTTCAAATAGCCGAAAGTTGCTCAAGGACTCGACCGTGGTAAACGGCACCTAACGTTTTACAAGTCTCCGGCAGGGCGTGACGGACACGAAACATTAGACTAAAACTCTGTCCTATTCCTTTCAGACAAGCCTTTTCCAGTGAGACTAACTGATGCACGAGATACTAGCACCGGTATTTTCGACTGCCTTTTCAGAACCCCATCGTATGGCAGGAGTAGTGCTGTGTGGCGTCAAACATCAAACACATACATTCCAATTAAAATGTTAGGACAATATACGTATCATTACTGGGTGTGTGAAACTGGGGAACGTGAGATAAATGTAATGTGTAACTACCAGTGTCCCGGTATAAACTCTCCCCCTACAAATTCTCCCCCCGGATATTTTATATCGGTACAGATGCTCCCCCGGGCGGATATATTTCGCGTCCCCCCTCAGTATAAAGTCTCCCACCTGAGTATTCGGTTTGTTGCAGTGTCTTTAAGTACTATATTCTTTAAATAGTTATCTTTAATGTAAGGAGGGTTACTTTAAAAAATAGATTATGAAATATGGTCATGAAAAAATTTGAATGAAATGACTTAATGTAACATGTACGGTTACTGTTGTAACTGAATTCAGAAATGGCATTAATCCTCGCAAACATTCGGTTTTAACACTAACTACGTAAAAACTGTCAACGTATCCACGCGCGCCTCAAGCTCAGGCTGTCCGTTATACTCTGATTTAAGATCTAAAATATATTGCTTAGTACAGGCTACGATTTGAAAATGGTATCAGTGTAATATCAATGGCTAGAATATCATGGTGCAACCAGGTTTCTGTTAAACATACAACATCATAGCCATCTAATTCAGCACTGATTAAATCTACTTTGTCTTTAAGACTGCGTCCGTTTAGATGTATAATCTTTAAATCTGGACTACGCAAAGGTCCTGGATACGGATGGATATCACCGCAGAAGTGAAAAAGTAAACCTAAGAATGATAATCGGAAATTATATAAGCAAAGTAACCCAAAATATAGAGAAATGTGTATCATCTTCCCGAAATGATTAGCATGTAGAATAGATTCAAAAACACACACCGCCTGCCTGTATTGAACAACATCAACCGGCATCGTCAAAGCAAAGTGTACATGTAATTGTTACAATCGGGCTGGCGGTGAATCTTAATGAAGAACACCTTGATAAAAAGACACACTGAAACTGATTTGCATAACTGATGACCACAACATATTTCAAAATATAAAAATAGTAAAAATGATACAGTATAACCTCATACTGAAGAGAAAACAAGATCAACACAGAGAAGTAAAATAGCACCTCATATAGAAATGAGATCTGAGAAGGGATTCATACGTTAAAAACTTAAAAAAGTATTATTATGAAAAACGAAAGGAAAAGTGGGGACCCTGCCCCCGACAATCCCACATCCGAAAAGAAAAAAACCCCTGCAAAATCAATAAAAAAATCAATAAATAAATAAAAAAACGACCCCCCCCCCCCCCCACACACACACACACACAAGTTACTAAATGTACATTTACATAAATATATAACCCAAAAAACTAAAGGAGCGAAAAAAAATAATAAAAAATGCATAAACAAATTAACATTAAAACCTAGAGGAATATGATAAGCCAATGTGTAATGCTACAGCACGAAACAATAAACTGTACCAACATTACAATGTTCCCCGATATGCATGCTTTACCTGGGTTACATACGGATGATCTAAGTTAGAAATATATGACTGATATAAATTCTTTAAACACGGTAATATCGAATATGCTTGGATTATCTTTTTTTTCAAATGTGCTCCATTCAAGAAAAGTTATATAGAATTATGTATTTAATCTCACCCATTTATTTTGTTCGTTTATGTAAAAGCTTTTACACCTTACACATTTTAATTACAGATTCCTTTGTTTTGATTTTAATGCAAACAAACCAGGCTTTACAATGTATTTTATTTCAACAGATTTTTATACATAAATATATGAATGGGGATTGGCAAACAAGCTTAACTGGCTTATGTAAAAGCCGCCGCCCTTTAGGCTGAGTTTCCATGTGCGCGGTTTGCCACGCGGTTTTGGGCACGTTTAGGGAGGCGGTTGAAATGCTATACAAAAACTATGCTTAAAAGTTCGGCGACTTAGTTTCCATAGTGCGCGGTTTGGCGCGGTTTCACCAACTGCAAACCGCTAGGGATAAGCGGTTGGTAAAACCGCGCAAATCGAAACAGTTCATTTATGATGTAGTATTTCCATTGGCGCGGTTGGGATCGCTCGGCTAAAAAAAAATCGAACAGTGCTCGATTATCTTTAACCTCGTGGTTAGCCAAGCGGTTCTACCCGAGCCAATGGTAATTTTACAGAATAAGGCCTAATTTCCTTTGAAAAAAACATTGCATAGCGGTTTGAATTTATACAGAGTTTTGTATTACATTTCAACCGCCTCCCAAAACGGGCCCCAAACCGCGTGGCTGAATGAAAGTGTTTTTCACTCAAAATAAACACGTCAGAAAGATCTATTCTTAATTGAAATATGTGATTTAGGATTTTTAATATAGCTATTGTTTGCTTGTATTATTGAAAAGTAAGCTTATAAACGTAATATGAATTTATAGAATGTAGTAAAAAAAAATCATTTTCAAACGATCTATTCCAACATGTCCGTAGATGACTAACCGTCACTTCGTGAGGGTGTCATTGCTGGTGTCACCCTGAGAAAATGGGCCTGGCGTGTCACGCCAGTGTGTTTTCATGTAGGGAGGGTGGTTGTGGGCAACGGGCATGTCAAGTTGCTGCCCCTCACACATAATACGTGTACAAATCCCTAAAGAGTTAGAACAATTGCTATCATTTTGCTTGTATCGTTCGTCAACACATTGTCATACAGTTCTTCAGTGTTACCGAATCTTCATATTTTCTCGTGATGGATGCCAGCGAAGTATCTCGCCTTGTAGACAACATCGCCTCTACTAAGTACCCAGAAGACTTCACCAAAGATCAAAAGAGACGTCTACGTGAGAAGGCCGCCTCTTTTACAGTTGCTGACAGAGTTCTCTACCATCTAGGCAATGGGGGGAAGAGGCAGAAGGTGTTCACAGTTGCTGACAGAGTTCTCTACCATCTAGGCAATTGGGGGGAAGAGGCAGAAGGTGTTCACAGTTGCTGACAGAGTTCTCTACCATCTAGGCAATGGGGAGAAGAAGCAGAAGGTGTTCACAGTTGCCGACAGAGTTCTCTACCATCTAGGCAATGGGGTGAAGAGGCAGAAGGTGTTCACAGTTGCTGACAGAGTTCTCTACCATCAAGGCAATGGGGGGAAGAGGCAGAAGGTGTTCACAGTTGCTGACAGAGTTCTCTACCATCTAGGCAATGGGGTGAAGAGGCAGAAGGTGTTCACAGTTGCCGACAGAGTTCTCTACCATCTAGGCAATGGGAGAAGAGGCAGAAGGTGTTCACAGTTGCTGACAGAGTTCTCTACCATCTAGGCAATGGGGGAAAGAGGCAGAAGGTGTTCACAGATGCTGACAGAGTTCTCTACCATCTAGGCAATGGGGTGAAGAGGCAGAAGGTGTTCACAGATGCTGACAGAGTCAGAGGCAGAAGGTCGTCGTTGGTGAAGATGAGAAGATGAAGATAATAGAGACTCTCCACAGCAGCATTGTCGGTGGTTGTCTCTTCGGTACTCGTGGCGCAGTATGAGTAATGCCGTCCGTGAGTTCTGTAAGTGTTGCCCTGCTTGCCAGAAAGCGAACCCCAACAACAGACCCCAAGTGGCAAGCTTACACCCTGTCCCTGTTAAGGACTTTTTCATCGATGGGGCTTGACCTTATTGGACCACTTAAAGAAACTGTAGATGGGTTCAGGTATATCATCGTTGCCACCGAGTACCTTTCCAGATGGGTGGAGGTTGCTGTACTTCCAGACAAGACAGCCATCAGCATTCATCAGTTTCTGATGCAGCTACTATACAGAAACGGGGTCAGGCAAGTACTCCTGCACGACCAGGGAAGGGAATTTTGCAATTTTCTTGTGAAGGTACTCTGTGACATTTTAGCTACTGACCAAGCCACGACGTCCCCGTATCAACCCCAGTCCAATGGTCTCACCGGAAGATTCAACCAGACCATGATCACCCAGCTGATGAAGATGTTAACAAGGACGGAGACGACTTGGACAAATTCCTTCAACCCGTTGCGTTTGCCTACCGGACCAACATCCAGGCGTCTACCAAGACGTCTCCGTTTGAGCTCCTCTACGGCCAGAAAGCAAGACTTCCCATCGACCTTGAAGAAGCGAAGGATGACCAAGCTATCTGGGATGTTGACGTCGAAGCCGTCGCTTACCGCATGAAGAAACTTGCTGACGTTATGCCCTCAAGCCGTGCAACAGCTAGAAACAACATCGAGAAGGCGCAGTCAAAACAGAAGAGGCGCTACGATCTTAAACACAGCTCGCCCGTTTTCCAGGTAGGATTTTTAAGCTCTATATCAAAATACTCATCT